GCATATTCCAGAGTAAAATTGCATTATATTACTAAGCAGTGTCAATGCTTTATAAATATGCAAGTTCCCTCTTAAGACTCCTGTCAATTTTAAGACACTGTGTTAATTTAATAATGAAAATTTAAGATGGAGGCTGGGCATAGTGGCTTATGCCTGTAATCTCGTGCTCTGAGAGACTGAGGGAGGCCAAGGTGAAAGGATTCCTTAAGCTCAGGAGTTCCAGACCAGCCTGAGCAAACCAAGGCCCTGCCTCTACCAAAACTAGAAAAACTAGCCAGGCATTGTGGTATTAGGTACCTGTAGTCCCAGCTGCAGCTGAGCCTGAGACAGAAGGATCATTTGGTCATTTGAGCCCGAGTGTTTGAGGTTGCTGTGAGCTATGATATCATAGCTCTCTAGCCTGGGTGACAGAATGAGACTTTGTCTGAATTAAAAATTAAAGATGGAAACAGAATCTGAAACTTAACTCTGATTGCAGAAATGTTAAAATGTAGAAACACAGGTATTTGGGTATCTAGCACATCCTGGTCCTGTTGGTGAGATAGTTGTCCCTTGCTTATTCCTATAAAATATTACTTATTTTATAAGGAACGCAGGACCTTTTTTGTTATGGTAAAGAGTGTTTTATCTCTACTCACAGTTTCTGCTTTTTGAGATAGCTTGTCAGTTTGTTGCCCTTGGTAGAGTGCTGTGGCCATTATAGCTCACAACAACCTCAAACTCTTGAGCTCAAGCAATTCTCTTGCCTCAGCCTCCCAAGTAGCTGGGACTACAGGTACCTGCCATAGCACCCAGTTATTTTTAGAGATAAAGTCTCAGTTTTGCTGAAGCTGATCTCAAATTCCTGAGCTCAGGCAGTCCACTCACCTTGGCCTCCCAGAGTGCTAAGATTACAGGCATGAGCCACCTCACCCACCCACCAACAATTCTTGTTTTCATAAATCAACAATATCTTCCAGATTATCCCATAATTTTTGTTTATTTGAATTATTGTGAAATATATGAATAGTTTCCTAATTGTGAAGCATTTTCACAATATGAAAATGATTCCTGTTTGGTATAAATTAGAATGTATTCTGAGGGTTTTTTTCTTATGGTAAAATATGCATAACATAAAATTTACCATTTTAATCACATTTAAGCATACAATTTAGTGCATTACATACATCCCCATTGTGCAGCCATCACCATGATCTATTCTCAGAACTTTTTCAGCATCTCAGTAGAAACACTGTACTCATTAGTTACTCACTGTTCTACTTTATGAATTTGCCTATTCTACAATCTGTCCTATTAATGGAATCATATTTGTCCTTTTGTATCTCCTTTATTTTACTCATTGTTTTCAAGGTTTATCCAAGTAACATGTATCAAAAGTTCATGTTTTTGTTTTTGTTTTTGTTTTTTAGAGATAGAGTCTCACTTCATTGCCCTTGGTAGAGTGCTGTGGCATCATAGCTCACAGCAACCTCCAGCTCCTGGGCCTAGATGATTCTCTTGCCTCAGCCTCCTGAGTAGCTGGGACCACAGGTGCCCGCCACAAACGCCCAGCTATTTTTTGTTGCAGTTTGGCCAGGACAGGTGTACTTCAGGGAGATAGAGATGGGAGTTACCTGGAGCTAAAACCAGCTCTAGCAGCTGCTGGGGCTATTTCTTGTTCTCTCACCTCAAAAAGAAGTAACTCCTACCTGCAAACACCCATGGGTTTGACCTGGAGCTGCTCCCTGCCTCTTGGAGCAGTTGTGGGGTACCATTCCTCTGGGACACCAGTGGGCCCACCCTGGGGATGTTACTAACTTGCCGTGAGAGGAGGCTGGCAGACCCCATCTGAAGGTCCAGTGTCCTCAGTTCATTCCTATCTATGGCTAAAGAATAAACCACTGTATGGATGTATCTTTTGTTTCTCCACTAATCTGTAGATGAACATTCGAGTTGTTTCTTCCTTTTGACTATGAATGATGTAGCTATGAGCAAGTATTGGCGTGAGCCCCTGTTTCAGTTCTTTGGGGTATATACCTACGAGTAGCATTTTCTGGGTCATATGGCAAATCTGCATTTAACTATTTGAAGAATTAATGAATGTTGTTTCACAGTGGCTATGCATTTTATGTTCCCACCAGCAGTGCAGGAAGGTTCTGGTTTCTCTATTGTTGCCAACCCTTGCTGTTTTCATCTGCTCTTTTTGGCAGCCATTCCTAGTGGGTGTAAGGTGGTGTCTCATTGTGGTTCTGATCTGCATTTCCCTGATGAGCATGTTTTCATGTGCTTATTGTCATCCCTATGTCTTGTTTGGAGAAATATCTATCCAAATCTTTTGCCCATTTTTATTTGGATTGTTGTTGAGTTGTAGGAATTCTTTACATATTCTGGATAGTAATCTCTTATTAGATAACATTTGCAAATATTTTCTCTCATTCAGGCATTTGTATTTTCTCTTTTTTATAGTATCCTTTGATATACAGAAGTTTTAAATTTGGATGTAGTCTTATTTGTCTTTTGAATTGTTTTTCTTTTATTGCCTATACTTTTTAATGTAACATTTCAGAAATCATGGACTAATCTAAGATCATGAAGAGTCCCCCTGTGTTTTCTTTACTCCCACCCCCACAGCAGAGTCTCATTCTATTACCTTGGTAGAGTGCCATCACCTCAGCCTAGCTTGAAGCAACCTCAACTCCTGGGCTTAAGCGATCTGCTCCCTCAGCATCCCTAGTAGTTGGGACTACAAGTACCTACCACAATGCCCAGTAGAGATAGAGTCTTATTCTTGCTCAGGCTGGTCTCAAACTCCTGACCTGAAGTGATCCTCTTGCTTCAGCCTACCAGAGTTAACTAGGATTAAAGGCGTGAGCCACCTTGCCTGTCCCCCCCCCCAATTTTCTACAAAGGGCTTTATAGTTTTAAAAAATTTAAATCTTAGATCCATTTTGAGTTAATTTTAGTATTAAATTTGTGTAAGGTTGGTCCAATTTAATTCTTTTGTAAATGGATATCCAGTTTTCCCTGATTTTTTAAAAAGACTGAGCAATAGAGAATGTGCAGTCCCTGCTGAGTAGTTCTGGCACTCTTGTCAAAGATCAGCTGGACCATACATGCGAGGTCTTACTCCGGGGCTCTGCATTCTATCCTCGTGGCCTGTGTGCCTGTCCTTACACTAGTGCCACACTTGGTTGGCAAGTGTAGCTTTTAGGAAGTTTTGAAATTAGAAAGTGTAGGACCTCCATTTTGTTACACCTTTTCAAAATTCTTTGGTTATTCAGGGTCCCTTGAGATTCCAACAGCTATTTACTGTGCACTTGCTGCCTGCAGCAGTTGAAGCAGAGAGCTAGACAGTCTCCACTAAGGGGAGGCTCAGCTCCTCCCCCATACCTATGCAACGTTAGGGCAAAAGTTGGGAAAGTTGCCTGGAGCAATGCCTTTCCCAGTGACATCCCCTTGTGCAGCCCTGCGGTCTCGTGTTGGAAGATGACTAGGAGAAAGGTTTTGTGCCTTCTCAGCACAGTCAGGAATTTCAAGATGCCCTTTGAATTTCAAGATGAATTTTTCTATTTATATAGAAATACACTGAAGGGATTTTGATAAGAGTTTACATTAAATCTGTAAACACTGAGTAGTATTGTCACCTTAAGTCTTTTAGTTCATGACCGTGGATATCTTTCCATTTGTTTTAGTATTTGTTTCAGTCATCAACAGTCTTCCATCTTAAGTTGATTCCTAGGTATTCTATTCTTTTTAATGTTGTAGATAGGATGGTTTTGTTCTTACAAGTATATAGAAATAAAACTTCTGTGGCTCGGCGCCTGTGGCTCAAGTGGCTAAGGCGCCAACCACATATACCTAAGGTGGCAGGTTTGAATCCAGCCCGGGCCCGCCAAACAACAACGATGAACTTTTTTGTGTTGACTTTGTTGTATCATCTTACTTTGCAGAATTTTTTAGTAGCTCTAATGTTTTCTGTAAGTATAGAACTTTTGGAGTTTCCTACAGACAAGATCATGCCATCTGTGAGAGAGATAATTTTACTACTACTTTGACAATTTGGACACTTTTTTTTTCTTGCCTAATTGTTTGTCAAGAACTTTCAGCGCAGTCTTGAGTAGAAGAAGTGATGAGAGTAGGCATAACTTTCAGTTTTTCACATGAGTGTGATGTTAGCTGCAGGTTTTTCACTTGTGACTTTTAACAGGTTGAAGGAGTTTCCTTCAGTTTCTAGTTTGAGTATATCTTGGTCTTGTTGACTAATTTCCTATATTGAACCATCTTTGTGTTCTTTGACAAACCCACTTAGTCTTGGTATACAAGCCTTTTAATATACTTTGGCATTCAGTTTGCTAATATTTTGTTCAGGATTTTTTTTTTTTGAGACAGAGCCTCAAGCTGTCACCCTTGGTAGAGTGCCATGTCATCACAGCTCACAGCAATCTCCAGCTCCTAGGCTTAAGTGATTCTTTTGCCTCAGCCTCCCAAATAGCTGGCACTACAGGTGCCTGTCACAACGCCCAGCTATTTTTTGGTTGTAGTTGTCATTGTTCTTTGGCAGGCCTGGGCTGGATTTGAACCTACCAGCTCTGATGTATATGGCTGGCGCCTTAGCCGCTTGAACTATATAGGTGCTGAGCCTATTCAGGATTTTTTCTTATGTATATTCATTGCTGAAGACTCAATGACAGTGTCCCCCTGGAATTCATATGCTGAAATTCTAACCCCACTGTGATGTTATTAAGAGGTGAAGCTTCCATAGGTGATTGGGTCATGAGGGTGAAGCCTTTGTGAAACATACCCAAGAGAACACCCGCTCCCCTGCCACCTTGTGAGGCTGCATTGAGAAGACGTTGTGTATGAAGGAGGGTGAGGACCCTCACCTGCCCTAGGACCCACCAGCCCTTGGGTCTTGGGATTCCTTGCCATAAGATACTAAGATAGGAATGCTGGTCTGTAGTATGCTGTTCTTGCTGTCCTTTATCATGATTTAAAAAGCTGTGTGTCTGTCTGTCTTACAGGTAGAGGCTGTCTCTGATAGATGGGAAGATGATAGCAGAAGCCACAGTGGGGGGCTTTCAGGCTCCAGCCCCCGAGTGCTGATTGGCTGTGTGACTTCCCTGATGGAAAGTGCGGGCTACATCAGTCAGACCACATACTTCTCTCTGGAGAGTGTGTGTGAAGGTACACTGGAGGGGGCCTCTGTTTCACATTTAAAAGTTTGTCTTTTAAAAAAAATTTATGGATTAAATTTGAAATGGCTACATACATCTTTAAAAGGATCAAATCTGGGCTTTGTTTGTCAAAGGGATTTTGGACTAGATTGGCTTCTCTAGGAGCTAGCTTCATGTAAAGGCTTTTGAGTGTAGGGTAGGCTTTGGGGAGTGGTCACCATTTTGACTTGTCTCTCGTTTGTGTTGTGCTGACTTTGTTGGATGCAGTCACTCATGTCTGGGTGGTTGTTCCTTCCATATAATGACTGAGTTGTTAATCTAACTCAACAGTGTCACACATATGTATATGTATGAAGTATCTTTTGAAAATGGTGGCTCACACCTATAATCTTCGCACTTTGGGAGACTAAGATAGGAAGATCCCTTAAGGCCAGGAGTTGGAGACCAATCTGAGCTAAGCAAGAGTGAGACCCCATCTCTACAGGTGTGGTGGTACGCATCTGCAGTCCCAGCAACTTGGGAGGCTGAGGCAGGAGGATTGCTTGAGACCAAGAATTTGAGGTTGCTGTGAGATATGATGACACCACTGCACTCTAGCCCAGTTGACAAAGTGAAACCTGGTCTTAGAAAAATAATAAATAATAATGCAAATAAAGTACTTCAAATGTTTTAAAACGTTTAGGTTTTGGGATAGCCTTGTACATTTCTAAGAGTTTATATCATTTTTAATTGTCTTTGTTTTTACCTAATCTCAGGTTTTGTTATTCCTACAGAAATAACCTGTTGATGCCATTTATTGAGTTTAATTTAACAGCTATTTACTGTGCACTTGCTGCCTGCAGCAGTTGAAGCAGAGAGCTAGACAGTCTCCACTCTAAGGGAGGCTCAGCTCCTCCCCCATACCTCTGTAATGTTAGGGCAAGAGTTGGGAAAGTTGCCTGGGGCAGTGCCTTTCCCAGTGACATCCCCTTGTGCAGCGGAAGATGACTAGGAGAAAGGTTTTGTGCCTTCTCAGCACAGTCAGGGCCCTGCAGCCTGGGAGCAGAGAACTATTGGCTTCACCCACAGGAGCTCTTTTTCTCTTTTTGACCTTGATTGCTAACCCTGGGTCCCAGGATGAAATTGATTGGTAACACCTGGGATTTTAAAAATCTCTGTCCTGTCAGAGAAAGCTTCGGTTCTTGGGAAAGGTGTTTATCATCCAGACCAGGAAGCCCCTCCTGGGGCCTCACTGGGGGATGTCTCAGGATGGAAAAGACAAGGGATATTTGATGCTGTGGGTATTGATGGAGGCACAGAAGAGGTTTGCCCTGAGGAATGAAGCTGGGGCAGGGATCCCACCCTCAGGCCAAGGAATTTCCTAGTACCCAGAAACTCAAGGGGACTAAGGTCACTCTCTCAAGGCTGAGAGAGTCATACTCAGATATCAGAACTGCCATTGATACAATCACAAAAACTAACAACCATAGCAAAATGACACTGAGAAAAATATACAATGTGAAAAAAAATCTGGGCCACGCCTGTAGCTCAAAGGAGTAGGGTACCAGCCCCATATAATGGAGGTGGCGGGTTCAAACCCAGCCCCGGCCAAAAACTGCAAAAAAAAAAAAAAAAAAAGAAAGAAATAATAATAGAAATCTAAAATAGAGGTCAGCACACTTCATACGGGACCAGGCAGTGCAGTCTTTGGCTTAAGAGGTCTCTTGAGAGGTCCTCTCTGGGACTATGGCATCTGTAGCCAGGAGCAGCCAGAGACTTATCTGAATGAGAGGTTGTGGCTGTGTCCCCGTGAAACTTTGTTTATAATGTCTGATCTAAAAGTGAGAAAAGGAAGAATTCTGCTAAAGTTTTTATTTGCTTATGGGAGAGTCAGGAGATGGTGTTTTCTTCTTGACATTAATTCAAATATTGGAGTGCATTACTGTGCTGACTGCTTCATGGAATTCACATTCTAATGGGAACAAAAACAGCAGATAAAATAACTAGATGTCTTTTGCTCTGCAGAAACTTACATGATCGTGTGGGAGAACTAGGGCGGGTGGCTTGGGGTTCCTCCCTGCATGCAGACTCAAGGGATGTACCCAAGGGTCACAAGTCAGGCAACAGGAGAGGTTGGGTGAAGCAAGCTGGACTGGCTCGGGTTCCATCCTAAAGACAACCTTTTGAGGTTGCCTTGGGTGAGGTCCAGTTTACTCAGGCAGCAGAGGTGGAAGCTTAACTATAGTGTAGGAGGTGAGTAGAGGCCTACAGTGTTTTGGGGGTACATCTGTGGAGAAAGGTGTGCTCAAGTATATTTGAACTGGACAGTCCCCTTGGTCCCGAATCCCTCTCTATGGCTGGGTCTGCCTTGTGCACTATGGGGTACTACACCATGTCCTGTCCCCACCCTCGTGTTGTGACAACCTAGGATGTCTGCAGACATTGCTAGATGGCCCCTGGGGGACAGAATGGCCCTGGTTGAGTCCCCTGGCTAAAGGTGGATCTGAACTGTGTGTGGTGGTCCCAGTCTCACTTTTCTGCTCCCAGGTAAGTGGCAGGTGCAGCAAGGTTGTGATGATGCAGGTCCTCATGGAATAGTAGTGTGGCCACAGTACCCTGCTGAGTCACACCACATACTTCTTTATTTTCTAAGTAAACTAGTTTGTGCACCCACTTAGGGGATTAAGAGAAAGCCCCAGGTCCCATCCTAAGACCTTCCCTAGGTCCACACACCTAGTGCTAGTCTGTCCTGGAGGCTCTGCCCTGTGCCAAGGCCTCTATGGTGCAGCTGCCTGAGGACCTACTCTCAGGCCTGGTCCTCAGGTTGTCACCAAAGCCTGTCTGCACCCACCATGTCCCCGAAGTGCCATGCCAGTTTTCTGAGCCCAGTCCCCAGGCTGGAAACCTCACCCTGCCACACCAGTCTCCACAGCCTCCGTAGGCCCAGCCCCTGCCTGTGTGGCCCTCAGTGCTCAGGGAAAGCAGCAGCAGAAGTTGGGGGGCAGCAGGGAGAGAGTTTGAGGTAGGCATTCCCTACCTGGTACCCAGTAGAGGCTTCTGTCACCCTCCCCAGGCCACAGTTTTTGTGGAGTGACCCTCTTTGCAGCTGGAGCCATAGCCAGGATGACCACATAACTGTCCAAACTGGCACACATTCAGGAAGTGAAAGGAATGTTAAAATTAATTAAAATGAAAATATTTTGAAATGCTTATACATGGGCTAACATTGATCTTATTAGTAGGCCTTTGAAGTAGTAGTTAGTGTTCAGAAGTTATTTTCAAATCTTTCATTAAAAAAGAAAAACAACTGGGTATATTAAGTCTGTGTTCATATTATCTAGATGTTACATTCTTCGTATGTATTAATATATTTTAATTTCTTAGCATCTGAGTGGTATTTTTCTGAAAATACATTTTCTAGTGTGATCTTAATTTTATTTTTTCATATAATTGCCTGGAGTCGTCTTCAAAGTTGCATTTTGTGGTTGAGAAATTTGAAATTGTAGGCACCTCTGATTGAATCTTTCCTGTGGGCTATATTTTTTTTCCTTTTTTTTAGAGACAGAATCTCACTTTATTGCCCTCTATAGAGTGCTGTGACATCACATAGCTCACAGCAACCTCCAACTCCTGGGCTTAGGTGATTCTCTTGCCTCAGCCTCCCAAGTAGCTGGGACTATAGGCGCCCTCCACAATGCCCAGCTATTTTTTTGTTGCAGTTTGGCCGGGGCTGGATTTGAACCCACCACCCTCGGTATATGGGGCCAGTGCCTTACCAGCTGAGCCATAGGCATTGCTCTCATGGGCTATATTTTTAATTGAGGAAATATTGATAAGCTCAGCATATTCTGCAAAACATAAGATGTTTAACAGTTCTCTTTTTTTCCCCTATGGAAATGTATAACTATTTAGGCCCAAATGATTTCTCAGGTTCTCTTTTTGACTCTATTCAGAGTACACAACTGTTCAAATATTTTTATAAACTAAAATTCATCAAATGAGTCATCCTGATGGTTCACTTGAATGTTAGGCCTTCTCAGTTTCATTCATCCCATTACATAAAACCAGTTTACTCAGTGAAAAATAAAGACTTCCCAGAGGGCGAGGGATTCTCAAGTCCAGTCATAGAACTGTAACATTAATTTGAATATACCATTCACGCTTCCGGGACTTAGTTTATTTCTCCCATTGCTTTTGTACCTTGTTTACAAGATATATTTTCAGTAACTACAATTTGCAAAAGACATCAAGAGCTGAAAAGTTTTGCCTCTACATTTACTAAATGTTTGACTGAAGATTTCAGCTGAATTTGAAAAAGTGTAACTAAAATTTCAAGGTCTTATTAAAAAAAAAAAAAAGCACCATAGAACCTTCAGGTTGATTTACAAAATGGTTCTTCAGGTCCAAAGATTTGTGAAATGCAAATTGAGGGAGGGTGCAAAAAGCAGATGTGGCTGCTGACTGCACTAGGGGTGTCTCAACACCAGCTCTGCAGAAGTTCTGCAGCTCAGTTACACACGATCTATCATTGAACTGCTGCAGCTCATATTGCATGGGCTGAACATCTAAGCATGTTTGGTTGCACCAACCATGTTTCTGCTTCATAAGTTTCCTAATATATAGGGATCTTATTTGTATTATGCTTTATTCCATCAAAATCATGTTATCACTGTAAAAAAAGTATCTCCTGGAGTAGATGTTTAAGCTGAATTTATAATAGTATTCACAGTAAGATCAGATGTTTCTCCTTTAATGCTCTAAAATCTTTACTTTGATTCTGATGGGGGAAAAAGAGTTTGTTTGCCTGTTTTTTTCTTTAACTATTTATAGAACTAGCACACTAACCACTATTGCTCTACTTTTCATACATGCCCAGGAAAATCTGGGAAAAAATGATCAAAATTATGTTAAATAATTATGTAATAAATGAATGCTTGGTTTGTAAACACTGTACAACTATCTCTACAACTGTACCTGTTACATTGTGGTTTCAGGGCACTGTACCAGCTGACCTTGAAGTCAGTGCTCTAGCAGAACTGTTTTCTCACAGTCCTGGGTTGAATGTCTACTGTCAACAGATGTGTGGGCTCAGTTATTTGTTTGTAACAAATAACTGGAGAAACAATCTTTATGCTTTTGGTTTTTGAGCTTATTACTTGTTACTGCAAAAGGGCGTAAGCACTATTGCCTTATACCTCATCCCATACCAGACCTGTCCAGATGTGGATGTGCCTTCTGCTCTGTCAGGATGGCTCTGCCACTTCACGATGCTGGACCTGAGGTTTCCCACCAGCCCAGCACACTGGCAGCCCCAGTGGCAATTTGTGTCCTGCAGACCATGACTTGGGCCACAGTCTAGCTCTCTGGCATGCCAAGGGACTGGCTGGGGCACTGGGTGCTTCCCTGTGCCTGGATTAGGATGCCTGAGTGCCTCTGTCATGAGCTCCCTACATGTGTCCCCAGCAGGACAGAGGTACAAACACTGTTGAGGAAGGGGGCAAGGGCACAGCCACCTGCCTCTTGGATGCGTGTTGGTGAAGCTGTCCACTACATGCACACCGGCACCTTCCAGAATCTGAAGCTTCTGATGCAGCTCATTTTATTTCTGTGGTTAGTAGTAGTATTTGGGGGTTGTTTTTAATTGTAAAATGTAGGGAATATGCTGAACAGATGAAGTCTTGAGATGATAGACTGAAACCAGGACTCTCCCTGCTGAGCAGGGCACCCACTCTTGTTGTTCCTACACCTTCCCGTGTAGGCTGGAATGTCAAGCCTGTGGAATGGTTGGTCTATACCATTCTCTGTTCTGTTTAACTGTGGTAAATCTAGAAGAGAATTGAGGTTGATAAACCTGCTTCTAACCCTGGTAGAAGTGTTTTTTTTTAATGTTCAAATATATCACAGATATGATAGAAATTATTTCAGTGCATAAACTTCAAAGTAAACTGTACACTTGGTGTTGCTGGGGTTTCCTCCCTGGCCACTTCAGGTTTTGAGCCCTGCAAGGGAGACTGGGTGGAGGCTGAGTACTGGATCCGGCCTGGCACATGGAGCAGCGAGGCCATCTCTGTGAAGCCGCTGAGGTACAAGCGTGTGGACAAGGTATTGTGCCTGCAAGCAGTTGTTCTTATGTTTACCAGATCTGCTCTTGGGGATAGTTACCTTGCCCCAGGGTTCTCTGAAAGTATTGGGAAGCCAAGGTAAAGGAGGTTTAGTCTCCGCTGAAGAGGACTGTTTTTCTGTTGAAAATGCTTTGTTTTCTTAAGGAAATAGAGGCTAACCTAGAGAGCGCAAGTAGTTTGGTGATGAGGCAGTGGTCACACAGAAGTGTTAGTGCTCTGGGGAAAGGTGTATGCTGGCTCTGCGAAGAGTGGGGTAAGAGGTGGTGTGACTTGCCTGGCAGAGGGATGTGGTCTGGGGAAAGGAGACTGGACATAAGAGAGGTGTTTGCATGAGGGGCACCAGCACAGCTGTGATTCAGCCCACACAGTCCCTTCCACCATCTCAGCGCCAAGGCATCTTCCCACATGCGTCACAATGGGGAGTGTTCTTTCCTGGCTTAGGGGGGTGTTCTGACCTTGGTTTTCCAACACTTCCGGAGAGAACCCTGGGAACAGGGCTCCACCCCCGAGACCTGACCTGTAGGACTCTTGGTGACTTCCAGCCATGTGCCCACAGGTCTGTATCTCAAGCCTCTGTGGAAGGAACGGAGTGATCGAGGACAGTATCTTCTTCTCCTTGGACTCTCTGAAACTGCCAGATGGGTACATTCCCCGCAGAGGTGATGTCGTCAACGCAGTGGTGGTGGAAAGCAGCCAGTCCTGCTACATCTGGAGAGCACTTTGCATGACCCCAGCAAAGAGGCGGTAATGAGAGCACACTTCTCTTCTTTAGGAGGGGAGGGCTTGGCCTGGGTGTGTTCTGGAGAGTTGCTGCTCTAAGCCTAGTGAGCAGACATCCCAGGTCCTGCGCTGCTTGTTAAAAAGAGGGGACTTCGGGGGCTTGCCTGACTATAGAGTTCCATGGTCCCTCTTCATCCTTAGTCTTATGTTGGTGATCAGCATTTTTGGTGGATTCTTTGTCTTTTGTTCTTTCACATTTCGGTGTTTTTTTGGTTTTTTTTTGGAGACAGCCTTAAGCTATTGCCCTGGATAAAGTGCTGTGACATCACAGCTCACAGCAACCTCTAACTCCTGGGCTTAAGCAAGTCTCCTGCCTCCGCCTCCCAACTAACTGGGACTACAGGCACCTGCCACAATGCATGGCTATTTTTTGGTTGCAACCATCATTGTTTGGCAGACCTGGGCTAGATTCAAACCCGCCAGCTTAGGTGTATGTGGCTGGTGCCTTAGCCTCTTGAGCCATAGGCACTGAGCCAACACATTTCAGCATTTTTAAAAGCACATAGAATAATAGGTTCTTGGCTCAGTGCCTGTGGCTCAAGTGGCTAAGGTGCCAGCCACATACACCTAAGGTGGCGGGTTCGCATCCCCAGCCCCGGCCCGCCAAACAACAATGATGGCTGCAACCAAAAAAATGGCCGGACGTTGTGGCGGGCCCCTGTAGTCCCAGCTACTTGGGAGGCTGAGGCAGGAGATTCGCTTGAGCCCAGGAGTTGGAGGTTGCTGTGAGCTGTGATGCCATGGCACTCTACCCAGGGGGATAGCTTGAGGCTCTGTCTCAAAAAAGAAAAATAATAATAATAGGTTCTTGAAGTTGTGTGCTGTGTCTGTGCCATAGGGACCCGCCTCCTACTTGGAGTCTGAGTGTGGCAAGACTTCGTAAGACCTATTCTCACAACAGCCCCTGTCTATTCTCCTTTCCTGTCTGCTTTTCTCTTCACAATCAGTAAGCTGCTTAGAGGGGTCCTTTGTTACCCTAGCATTGTCCTGTCCCCTTGGTAGAGTGTGATTTTTTCATGGGATGTGTTTTAGTTTGGCCTCCTCACCCACCTCAGTGTCTGGACGCAGACAAGTAGCCATGTACAGCCTGCGTAACCTATAGGTGTGTGTGTACAGTGGGGCGCCAGAAAGGTAAGACACAGTGTGAGCTTGGCCTGCTAGCAGATGCTTGTTTGGCCACTTGGTGACCAAGTGCCTTTTCTCATGAGACCCTACTTCGCTTGTGGAGTGTCTGGGGCAGGGAAGCCAGTCACATGGCCCTCACCAAGGGCTAAGTAGCTGCAGGAACTCTGGTTTCACTCGAACCTGCTGAGCCTGGTGATACAGGAGGTAAGAGGGCCAGACTCCCTGACCTGCACCACCTCCTGCAGGGCAGGGGCTGTGAGCTCCCTTCTTGCATGCCCTGGCTCAAGTGCTGCGGTCACATGAACATTCCATGGAGGCGCTGTGTCTTTAAACATTCCCTCTCCTGACTCTTCACTCTAGGCCAAGAAAGCTTGAAAAAAGCCTGATTCTGGCTTGGTGCCCATAGCACGGTGGTTATGGTGCCAGCCACATGCACTGAGGCTGGCAGATTTGAACCCAACCCTGGCCAGCTGAACAAATGACAACTGCAACAAAAAAAATAGCTGGGTGTTGTGGTAGTTGCCTATAGTCCCAGCTACTTGGGAGGCTGAGGCAAGAGAATCGCTTAAGCCATAGAGTTTGAGGTTGCTATGAGCTGTGATGTCATGGCACTCTACCAAGGGTGACATAATGAGACTCTGTTTCAAAAAAAGAAAAAGAAAAAGGCCTGATTCTGCCCAGCAGCATTTCTGTTCTCTTCCTCCCCTTAGGCCTCCTAGCCTGGTATAGCTGCTGCTGGGGAGCCAGGAGATCTCTGGCTCCTGGTCCTGGGCTTGCAGCCTCTGCACCCCAGTGCTGAATCTAACCTTTGACACAGAGCAGACAGTGTGCAGACCAGCCTCTGCCTGGCCCCACACCTCCTGGAGTCTTCCTGTCATGGGAGCTAAATAGCCCGTTCTATGGGTGGATCGAGTCAGGACTCTGGCAGTCCTGGCTCTTCTTCCCAATCTTTTCCCATTTGTTAGCAACATTGTCAGCTGTCTGCCACTGACACAGAGGGTCTGACTGCTCCCTGTGCTCTTGTGCTCAGCTGGTTGGGGGCATGCGTGCAGGGCAGCAGAAGGCCAGCCAGGCCGAGGTCTCCGTGGCTGGGAACCACACTGGCTAGGGGCAGGGGCTCACCCCAGAGGCCCTTTGTTCTTAGATAGTTGCAGGGGCAGGCTTACCTTCTGGAAAGAGCCTGTGGGCAGGCAGCAAGGAGACAGGAGCCTCCTCCCACGGTAGTGTCAGTGGGAGAAAGGGAGGAAGTGTGTCCATTTTGAAAGGAAGGTAAAAGCCTGTCATTTGCCAAAGAGCAACTTCTTATTTGATTGTTCTCAAATACTTCAGAGCAGCACAACTCTTTCCAAAGGTCAGTTTAGTAAATTTTGTGCCGCCTCTTCTAGAGCCTGGAGGTGCTAGAGGGAAGAGGGGTGAGGGTTCACTGAGGAGCATGGCCAGGATGATTCTCAGGTTGGCACCTGCAAGATACCACCTGTGTATTCTCCTTTTCTCCAGACTTCATGGGGTTTGCAGTTTTCTTTGTGTGAGATGATTGTCTGCATCTTTGGATACCTTGGGCCTGTGCTTAGGCGGCTTCTCCGGGGAGTGGGGAGTCTTTGCCCCCGTCCTGCTCTCTGTTCTCTGGGCTAGGCAGGGGCAGAGGGCTGTGGCGCTGCAGAGGGACACCTCTGTCTGGCATTTTTTGCAGAGATTCTGCTGCTGTTGGTGAGGTGACTGAAGAGTCCTATGGAGCCCTGTTATTAAAGAACAAAGGTGGTATTGAAGTTACTCAGATGACACATTTTGGAACCCTCAAGGAAGGAGGAAGTAAGAGTATGGTGATCTGGATTGAGTAAGTTTACCACTTAAAAGTTTTTAATGTTACATTAATAATGGCTTTTAAACTATAACTTAATAATTTCTGTAGAACCAATTTTGCTCATTTTTTTTCTTAATGAAGATCTTTCCAAATATTTTTAACACAAAATGTTCCTTTAATTTATGTTCATAAAGACTTTGTAGACACCATTTCCTAGACTGAATTTTGTGCATTATAGTAAATGACTATTTTAGCTTTAGAAATCCTAACTATTTTTTTTCCTTTTCAAGGAATAAAGGAGACATTCCTCAAAACTTAGTCAGCTGTAAACTGGCTGGCTGGGATAAAGCTAAACAGTTCAGATTCCAAATGCTGGATAAAGACCAAATGTGCCCAGTGGTATCTTCCGTTTCTGTTCCTGAGAAGAATTTATCAGATGAAAATATTAATTCATTAAATACCTATAGAAAAAACATAACCTGTCAGACATCAGAGAGCAGTTTGGTGGACGACAGAGAAGTGTCTCCAGGTAGACATTTGAGCTCTCACTATGTAAAGTGTATGGGCTGGGGGGACTCTGGGGCCTATGACCAAGATGGCCTTGTGTAGCACTCTGGGCAGAGGGTGGGTGCCGTGGCCAGAATACCCCAGCCACTGTGGTGCCTCAGCTCAGAGCTCTTTGGTTTTGGACCCTTCTCCTCTCTTGATATTTTGGGGCTGGGAGAGGGACAGAAGTAACATGGCTGATTGGAAGGAGTGCTTTAGGTGGTGATGGCCATTTCCTGAGTGTTTCTAAACCGAGGAGGGCCAATGGGCATTCCAGGGACTAGAGACTACATGGTGCATGGGCTCCTCCCCAGGGACATGGACAGGCTGCCCAGGTAGCCCTTTCCTGCTTCTGCTTCCTGTGGGTGGTTAGCCATCATCTGAGTTTGCCTCCTGTTTCTGTGCATCTGAATATACGCGTGTATGTGTATAGGGTGTGTTCGTTTCCAGTAGGCTTGCTGGCTCTAGGAGGGAAAACTTAACTATGGGTCTAATTTCATCCCTAGATGACTGTACCTGTAAAGGAAAAAGTGGAGAAAAGGAAGGCACTTCACCAAGGAAGCAGGGGACGGCACCCGAGCCAGGGGGGCTTGTCCCTCCAGGGGAGAAAGTCTCCGTGATGGTCGTATGTGATGCAAAGTACGTAATTGGAGGTGTGGAGAGAGCTCCTTAAGGTGCACGTGTGAATTTTTCCTTTAAGTTTCATCTGTGGTATTTCTAGGTTGGATATCATAAAAAACGTTCAAGAGGCTCAGTGCCTGTGGCTCAAGTGGCTAAGGCGCCAGCCACATACACCTAAGGTGGCGGGTTCGAATCCAGCCCGGCCCACCAAAACAACAATGACGGCTGCAACCAAAGAATAGCCAGGCGTTGTGGCGGTTGCCTGTGGTCCCAGCTACTTGGGAGGCTGAGGCAGGAGACTCGCTTGAGCCCAGGAGTTGGAGGTTGCTGTGAGCTGTGATGCCATGGCACTCTACCCAGGGGAATAGCTTGAGGCTTTGTCTCAAAAAAAAAAAAAACAAAAAAAAAACATTCAAGAGCATTTTGATGTGACAAAATCATAAGAAAAAGCATTGGTCAAAATTGGCTACGTGAGCTTCTCCCCACTTGAGGTGATGGACACTGTAGCCCGGGATGTCCACCGTGGGCCTCAACATAGGACTTGCCCCTCACCTTCACAAAGAATATCAGGTGTCTGTGAGGCATGAGCTCCCTCACTTCTCTGAGCCCTTCTTCCTCAGCCATTGCCACTCCACTCACTGCCTTCCTCATGAACCCTGAGGCTGCCATCCACTGCCATCCCTTCCCCAGGGCAGCTCCACTCTCCCTTGTAGGTTGGTCCTATCCAGCTGGCCACCCAGGCCCATGTGGGTCCCTCTTCCTATTCTCCCATATCCCCACCACCATCCAAGCTGCTTGAAAGTGTGTGGTCAACTTTCAACTAGACATTTGGGCCCTTGGCCTTCTTACCTCTTCTCTAAATTTGCTGATGCTAATTTTTTAATCTGATTAAATCACTGTTTTGCTGCAAGCCCATCAACATCAAACCATAGTTGACAAGTATATAGTTTAGGGTGGGCATGGTGGCTCACACCTGTAATACCAGCATTCTGGGAGGCTGAGGCAAGAGGACCCCTTGAGCTTAGAAGTTCAAGACCAGCCTGAACAAGAGTGAGACCCCATCTTTACTAAAAATAGAAAAACTAGCCAGGTGTTTGTGGTGGGCTCCTATAGTCCCTGCTACCTGGGGAGGCTGAGGCAGGAGGGTTCACTTGAGCCCAGTAGTTTGAGGTTGCTGTGAGCTGTGATGCCAGGGCACTCTACCCAGCATGATAGAGTAAGACTTCTTCTCTCAAAAAAAAAAAAAAAAAAGGGTGCGAGTCTTCAGTTGGCTGTGTGAGATGCAGCTAGTTTAAGTGTTTAAGACTATGACAACATAGAAACAGCCAAGAAGGCCATAAGTAAGTGCCAAGTGTAGTGTGCACAGAGAAACCTCAGCTAGAGCATAGCAAGGAATTAGGCAGGTAGGAAGCAAGTTAAAAATAGTGCATGTTTGGGGTCATGTTATTCTAATTTAAACTTGAGAATATTGAAAATGTTTTTCCTATTAAGTTTGAGAGTAGTAAACACTATTTTAGGTGCTTGATTTTATCTTTTCTTTTTTTTTCTTTTTTCTTTTTCTTTTTTTTTGAGACAAAGGCTTACTATGTCCTTACTATGTCTACAGAGCTCTCAGTAGAATGCTGTGGTGTCACAGCTCACAGCAACCTCAAACTCTTGGGTTTAAATGATTCTCTTGCCTCAGCCTCCCAAGTAGCTGGGACTACAGGTGCCCACCACAATGCCTGGCTACTTTTTGTATTTGTTGCAATTGTCATTGTTTAGCTGGCCCAGGCCAGGTTTGAACCTGCCACCCTCAGTGCATGTGGCTGGCTCTGTAACCACTGTGCTAAGCCTTGACTTTATCTTTAGAAAGTATTACATTGCTTATTTTAGAAAGTCTCTTTTCTCTGTAAAAAGAATTGTCACGGTGGCTCTTGGCCAGGATCCATTGCAGTAGAGCCCCTGGGAGTCCCAGCTCGAGGTTGCCGCAATAAAGGCCCTTTTGCTTTTGAAAAAAAAAAAAAAAGAATTGTCACAAAGTAAGTAAGGGCTGGGCGTGGTAACTCACACACGTAATGCCAGAACTTTGGGAGGCTGAGGCAGGAGGGTTACTTGAGACCAGGAGTTCAAACCCAGTCTTAGCAACATAGCAAGACGGTCTCCTCAAAAAATAGAAAAATTAGCAGGATACAGTGACATGTGCCTACTGGTCCCAGCTACTCAGGAAGCTGAGGCAGGAGGATCACTGGAGCCCAAGGAGTTTGAAGTTGCTGTGAGCTTGGATGGCCCCATTGCACTCAAGCCTGGGTAACAGAGTGAGACTCTGTCTCAAAAAACAAACAATAGCAAAAAAACCAAGGATTATTATTTTTTGAAAGCCCTATAACTTTCCTTATATATGGCAAGGGAAATTACGTTGAATTTGTCTATCTTATTTCTGACTAAAACTAAATTTAATTTTTTTTTCTCCAAGAAATTCTGGCCGCTGCAAGGAGCTCCTTTTGCTGTGTTTTTCTAATTTCCTAATTGGGCGATACCTTGAAGTAAATGTTGTGAGTGGAGAGGAGTCCCTGATAGCTGTCCGTGAACCATTTTCTTGGAAAAAACCTAAAAGTTCCCAAGCTTTAGCATCCACAAAAACTACAGTTGTCGTGACCACACAGAAAAGGTATAGCAGCTGAGTATATCAAGCTTTTGGTTGGTGCCTTTATCTGTTAAGGGGAAGCAGACATTGCTGGCAGATGATATGGCCAGCGCCCGGCTGGGGGAGGTGATATAGGAGGTCAAGTTGAGGTTTAAGCCTCCTGCTACTGTGTTTGGGGTCTCCAGGGAGCTTCTAGGTGAGGCTCTCCACCACTGCCCAGCAGCAGTGTGAAATCCAAAAGAGGTGGCCACACACCCTCAGCCCCCTCTGCCCAGCATGTCTCAGGCAATTTCCAGAGTAGGATGGGGTTTGTGCTCAGCTCTTGGCACCTCTAGTGTAGCTCATGTGGCAGCAGCAGGAGTGCTGGTCACATGAGAGAGCCTGCAGAAGAGGAACACTGAGGAGAGGGCAGCATGAGGTTGGCTGGGGCGAGGCAGGGGGAGGGCTACCCATTTTTTACCTGTGGTGTCATCTCTGGAAAGTACTTTGGGTCTACATGGTCTCTTCTGCAACTATGAAACCAAAGAGGTCAGAAGTCAGATTTTAAGTTTGCTGCCAAAAAAAAAAAAATCCAAACTATCAACCTTGGAGGGTAGCTAGCAAACGCTCCCCTATTCACTGCAGGATGGACAGATGCTCCCCTGTTAGCTTCAGGACAGATAGGTGTGTGAGCTCAGGTGCTCCTTGGGAATGAGAAGTGTCACTTCTCCAGTGTTGGAAACTCTGAATTTCAAGTCACATGTTGGCCCAGCAACAGTTTAAGATAAGGGCTTATGGATGTCTACTAAACTGTAGGCTGAGGAGAGAATCTGCTGGCAGAGGAATATTGTGTGGTTGTTCACCTGTGGTATTAGACTGTTGTTGAATCCCAGGAAAATGTGTGACCTTGGGCAAGTGCCTTAACCTCGTTTGTAAAATAATGGCTACTTGACATGGTTTGAGAAGTACAGTGAAGAAAGGCATATAAAGTGACCAGACCCCTTCCAGAAGTCCCTGGGCAAGTAGTGAGCTCAGGAAGAGAGCAGGACATTCCTGAAGTACCAGGGCCTGCAGAGCAGCACAGATGACTGGGTGTGATGATGGGAGCTTTGGAGAGCCCTAGTTTCTTGTGCAGTGGTACACCAAGCAAACTTGTAGTTATCACTAGGCTTAATTAGAAGAAGGGAAAAATACAGACCAGTCACATGTTAAGCCCAGTCAGTTATCTGCCTTTGAACACTAACATACTATCACTGCCCAGGAGCATCTCTGGGCTCCATTTCCTGGCAGTCAAATTGGTGACCCAGAGTGCCTGGTCCAGGCTGGCTTGAGTACACTGGAAGGCCAGGGGTCTGCTGCCCACACTGGTGCTGGCAGGTGCCTCATAGGCCCTGCCCACCTGCTGGGACACTGTCAAGCAGCTGCAGTGTTCAACCTCAACCCCTTCTCAGATAGAAGGGCTGTCACTTAGCAGAGCTGTGCTGGGAGCCCTCCGTGTACTGGCGCTTCCTTCACCTGGTTTCCAGACATTTTGAAAACATTCTGTTAATCTAGCTCTTCTGGCCATGTGGCTGGACCCATTTACCTAAGTGTGTAGTGGTCATCCTGGTCACCCTTTGTCTTGTTCATATCGGTCTCCAGGTCTTGACCAGCACTCAGGAATGCCCACTGCCTCCCGAGTAGGCTTCACACCTGAGTGCTAAAGGGACTCTTGCCACAGACCGTAGAAAGGATACCTCCCTGTCTGCTTGTGGAGGGCTGAGCTGAAGGTACCCCGACAGGAGGTGACAACTGATGGGATCCGGAGTCTGGGTAGCCCTTTCTCCCCTCAGTGCTAACTCTGGGTCCAAGGCCATCTGGCCCCCTCCCTGGCCACCTCCGAGCCTCACTGTCCCCTCCCAGTACCTCTTCTTTCCAATCCTCCTTTCTCCTCCCTGCTGCCCTGTGGCACTTGGCCTGTGGCAGTGATGTGCTTCATCCTGCTGGTGCCAGGAATTTGGTGAATCCCAATAGCCGTTTCTAGGGAAAGGTGGAAGCTTGAGGGCAAGACCAGATTTCCCCCTTACCAAAAAACAAAGGAAAGCAAGTTGAAGGCATGGCGTAGATGGAGCAGCCTTTTGCAGGTGGCTCTGTGCCCTGGCAAGGTAAAGTGCTGATACAACTTCCTTAGAAGTTCAGCAGGGAGAACTCAGCTGATCAGAAAGTTAAAACAAAGTGCTGACAAGCTCACTGGTTTTAGGAGGTTCCTTGGGGTCCCATTGCTATTGTGCAGCTGGAGCAGTTGCATCTGCCTCTGTCCACGAAAGCAGGGGCTCTGCTGGGGGATTTAAGGATAGGATCCCAAAGCTGACATGAAACTTGCTGACTACTGCCTTAGGCTAGTCATTCTGTATCAGTTATTTTCAGTGATTGAATAAACTTTGGTCTTTCTGAAATAGAAAAGGCTAAGTCAAACTGTGATATGTATAAAATGCCTGGTAATTAATAATTGTTTTTAACTTCAGAATTTATTTTTTAAGGAATTCAAGACGACAACTTCCCAGTTTTCTTCCACAGTATCCCATACCAGATAGACTTAAAAAATGCGTGGAACAAAAAATTGACATCCTGACTTTTCAGCCACTACTCGCTGAGGTAGGAAAAGTGTTTGATGCTGTGTAGAATTTTTGCTTCCTACCACTCTTGACTGTTTTCTGACAAAAGAAGGAAAAGCCCTTTTCGGGTTCAGAACTGACCTTGTTCATTGTTTACCACAGAGGACTGGAATTTCCAGGTTCTACCCCCCACCCACCGCAGCCCCATCTGCCCCAGCCCCTGTGCTGGGAGGTGTTCTGCAGCCTCCAGGTCATGCAGTGGGGCTGTGGGGGCTGGGGGATATCTCTGCCACCAATCCAGCCTCTCTCCTCCAGACCAGGTGGCCTTTGTTAAGGGAGGTGCTTCAGCCTCTTCGCTGCTTTGCCCCCGTGACAGAACTTCACACTAGGAGCAGGCAGGAATTCTCTCTGAGAAGAGGAGCTGAGCTCTTAGCTGTAATCCCAACACTCTGGGAGACTGAGGCAGGTGGATTCCTTGAGCTCAGGAGTTCAAGACCAGCCTAAGCAAAAGTGAGACCCCCCATGTCTACTAAAAATAGAAAAACTCAGCAAGTATCATGGTGGGCACCTATAGTCCCAGTTACTTGGGAGGCTGATGCAAGAGGATTGCTTGAGCCCAAGAGTTTGAGGTTGCTGTGAGGTATGATGCCACCACGGCATTCAACTCAGGGCACACAGTGAGATCATCTGAGGAAAAAAAAAAAAAAGGAGCTGATAAAAAGAGGGCTCTGAGTAAGACTGCCAGCAGCACTGACTAACAGTAGAACACAGGCCCCTCCTGAAGGTCGGGAGCAAGGCTGGGACATCAGCCTCATACTGGTAGCAGCCTTTGCTGGAACATTCTCTCCTTCCCTTATACTGTGCTACTAGGGGGCAGCACCTGTGGCTCAAAGGAGTAGGGCGCCGGCCCCATATGCTGGAGATGGCGAGTTCAAACCCAGCCCTGGCCTAAAACTGCAAAAAAAAAAAAAAAGAGAGAGAATCCTTATACTGTGCTACTGCTTCATTCTGAAATACAGATGCCATCATGGTGGCTGAGTCCTGGGGGAAGATGTGGGGGCTGCAGGGCAGTAGTGGCCCTGACAGAGCTGTGTGGATGATGGCACATCCGAGTGCAGTGGCTGCAGAAGGAAGGTCCAGGAGAGAGAAAGTTTTATTAACTATGACAGAGGAAAGATCATTGCCCTGTCTGCAGGAGGGTGCTTTCTATAGGGCTTTTTAGCTCTAGCGCTGGAACCTCTGCTCTCACGGATGTGGAGCCAGAGCCACATGCAGGGTTGGTGGTGCAACTGCCCTGGGGCCTCCTTTTCATAGTTGTCCTGCTGTGACTAGGGTGTCTCCCATGGGAAACTTGTTTTACTGGCTGGTGCCTAAATGGAAGAGGCTGAAGCACACACAGAATACATCATAATGCGTTTACTTGAGCCACCGTGAGAACAATTATCTGGAGACTTGGGCACAAGTAACCTTGAATATGGCTCTGTCTGGCCTTGGTTATAAGCAGGTTTTTAAAATCAAAAAAAGGAAAGGGAATGGGCTGATATGATTGTCCAGAATTCTCATTGGTTTACAGAAATAACACTGATTAGCAGTTGGCTGTCATTGTTAGCTATAGGGTCTGGGTTATGTGTCTGGGGCAGCAGTATTAGGGTAATTTATAACTACTTGGGGGCAGTTGCAGGCAGTTTCAGGAAGTGAATTTTTAACTCAAGGAATGGCAGTACCACACTGTTGGGATTACTGTGGCTTTGCAGTAAATTTTGAAAATGTTAGTTCTCCAGCATTTTTTTTTTTTTTTTTTTTTTTGCTATCTGGATCTTCTGTATGAATTTTGTAATTGGCTGTTCTGTGTCTGAAAAAAAGACATTGGAATTTTGATGGAAATTGCACTGAACATGAAGATGGCCGTAACACTGTTAAGTCTTCCGGTCCATGAACATGAGTGTTTTCATTTGTTATGTTGTCTTTAACTTCTTTCAGTGATATTCTGCAGTTTTCATTGTACAAGCCTTTTATTTCTTTGGTTAAATTAACGCCTACGTATGTTGCTGCTCTTGATGCTATCTATCATATACAGAATTGCTTTCTTTTCTCTTCAATAATTTACTGTTAGTGTTTAGAAATGGAGATAGTTTTTGTGTTTTGACTTTGTATCCTAGTACTTCACTGAATTTATTCCAAAAGTTTTTTGTGAACTCTGTAGGGTTGTTTGTTTTTTTGTTTTTTTGTTTTTTTTTTTGAGATGGAGTCTCACTATGTCACCCTCGGTAGAGTGCCGGGGCATTACAGCTCACAGCAACCTCAAACCCTTGCACTTAAGTGATTCTCTTGCCTCAGCCTCCTCAGTGTGTTTCTCTACTATAGGTACCCACCACAATTCCTGGCTAGTTTTTCTATTTTTAGAGACGGGGTCTTACTCTTGCTCAGGCTGGTCTTGAACTCATGAGCTCAGGCAATCCACCTGCCTCAGCCTCCCAGAGTGCTAGGATTACAGGTGTGAGCCACTGTGCCCAGCCCCAACTCTGTAGGATTTTATACATCTAAAATCACCCCATCTGCAAACAAAGATAATTTTACTTCTTTCTTTCCAATTTGGATACTTTTTCTTTTTCTCACCTAATTGCTCTGGCTAGGACTTCCAGTACTATGTTGAGTAAGTGACAAGAGAAGGCACCCTTGCCTTGTTCTTAATCTGAGTGGAAAATCTTTCAGTCTTTCACCCCTGAGTGTATTGTTCACACTGAGTTTTCCACATATGGCTTTTATCATATCAAGGTAGTTTTCTTCTATTCCTACTTCAGTGTTTTATCATGAAAGTGTGTATGCTTTCCCTGCATCTGTAGGGATGCTCATGTGTTTTTCTTCATTCTGTTAATGTGTTATATTGAACAATTTATGTACACTGAACCATCTTTGCACTCTAGGAATAAATCACTCTTGATCATGGTACCTATCCTTTTAATATGGTGCAGAATTCTGTTTGCTAGTTTGTTTTTTATTTGTTGAGGATGTTTGCACCAGTGTTCATAAGGGATATTGGTCTGAAAGTTTTCTTTTCCTGTTGTGTGGTTGTTTGGCTTTGGTATCTGGGTAAATGCTGGCCTCAGACAAGAAGTGAGGAGTATTCCCTACTCTTTAAGTTTTTGGAAAAGTTTGGTGATTATTAGTATATTATTCTTTAAATGCTTGGTAGAAATTTACCTATGAAGCCATCAGATACAGAACTTTTGTTTTTCAGTTTTTTGATTACCGACTCAATTTCCCTAGTAATTACACATCTGTTCAGATTTCCGAGTTCTTCGTGGTGTAGTTTTGGCAGGTTTTGTCTCTGGGAATTTGTCCATTTCCTATAGGTGTTGGGTGTATAACTATCCACACTCTCTCATAGTCCTTTTTATTTTAGTAGAATCTGTAGTAATGTCCTTTTATTTCTGACTTTAGTAATTTAAGTCTTCTCTCCTAGTCTGTCTAGCTAGAAGTTTGTCGATCTTTTCAGAGAACAAACTTTTGGTTTTATTGATTCTGTCTGTAAATCTCTCCTTAGTTCTCTGCAGTTTTCTCAGTAGTTCTTTTGTTTATCTCTGCCCTAGTCTATCTCTCCTCCCCAGGAGCCAAGAGTCCATTTGTTTTCCCAGCACGAGTTCCACATGGAGCTCTCAGCCATGAGTCTCTTGAGCTCCTCCCTCCTTCTTCCTGTGAATCTGGTATGTTTTGTTTTCATTTGTCTCCTGGTATTGTCTGTTTTCCCTCATGATTTCTTCTTTTTCTTTTATCCTCTGTTCTTTTGCACATAATGTATATTGGCTTCTAGCTCCTCTGCTTCTGAGATTTTATCTTCATGCCTAGTTTTGAGAAATTTATAATATGCTGTGATTTTGTTTCTCTCTTCATGGTCTTGTGCTTGGGGGTGTTGGCTTAGTTTTCCTCAAATCTGGAAATTGCAACCTTCACATCTTAAGGTGCCTTTGCTGCCTCCTCCCAGGTTCCCCTCAGGCTCACAGGCTGCTCTTATTTCCTGGTCTTTGTTCTTCATTGAGTTTTTGGATAGTTTGTATTGCTGCATCTTCAACTCACTAATATTTTCTCTGTAGCATGTGATCTCTCCAGCGTGTTTCTGTCAGACATTGTAGTTTCGCGTTTCCAAGTTCCCTCTAGGTCTTCTGTATCTCTGCCTACCATGCTAGGTCCTCCTCATGCCTCTGTGACAGCTGTCTTCATGTCCAGCTCCGTGTCTGTGTCATCCCTCATTCTATTTCTGTTGATGATATTTTCTCCCATTATGGGAGAAATGTACTTTTCTCTTTCACCAATGCCTGGTAATTTTATTTGGATGCCAGACATTCTGAATTTTACTATGCTGGGTGTTGAATATTTTCTTTTCCTAAAAATATTTTTGAGTTTTTTTCTGGGACACAAGTTACTAAGAAGTAAGATGGACTGGGCTCAGGGTGGCCTGGCCTGGCCACAGACAGAAACAATGAGACCTTATATAAGCCTGTGTGTTGAGTGGGACCAGAGTAATTCTTGACTTAGATCTCACACCCTTCCTTTGTTTTTTTGTTTTGTTTTGATGGAGATGTCTCCATCTCCTCAACTCAGGGGCCATGTGTCTCTCTGGTTCCCTGTACTGCAGCCTGGGAACTCTGCCCAGACTATAGCTGAAAGTCCATGGAGCTTGTTTCCTAAATCTCAGGGCCACTATCCTGAGCTGCTTGATGGTCACTGTAAACTACATTTCCACTTTCTCTATTCTTCTTTAAGTTATTTTGGGTAGGAAGAAAAGTCTGGTCCTCATTGCTTTATCTGGTTTAGACCTGGAAGTTCTGTACTTTTTCACACATGTCTATAGCAGCCAAACCCTGCCCTTCCCAGAACGACCTCAGAAGACCTGAAAAAGGATAACAACAGGGTTGGTGGACGGTGGTGTGGGCATTGAGAGGGAAGCTTTCCAGCTGCAGCCCAGAAGACCCCTGCTGAAGGCTGGAAATGTGCTGATGCACTCATGAACTATGGCCTTGGATCACCTTGCCTTGAATTTAGGCAGTTTGGACTTTCTAACCCCAGAGCTGAGATTTCCTGGATGTGGATGTGTTTGATGTATTGCTTTATTCTCACTGACTTGTTAATGTTTGGGTGTTTATTCCCCAGCTTTTGAACATGTCAAATTACAAGGAGAAGTTCTCAACTTTGCTGTGGCTTGAGGAGATTCATGCAGAAATAGAACTGAAAGAGTATAATATGAGTGGCATCACCTTGAAGAGGAACGGGGACTTGCTGGTCTTGGAGGTCCCAGGGTTAGCTGAAAGCAGGCCCTCTCTGTATGCAGGTATGTGTGTTACATGGCACGTTCTTCTGGGCAGACTAACAGACAAATCACTTAGGGAAAAGAATATTTTCTAACTGGGAGCACTGTAGTCATACTGCAATCATGTTACCTCATTGTCTTTCCTTTTCCTTTGGGTTAGAATTTCACCAAAAACTTGAGCAGGCTGTGCATGGTGACTCAGTCTATAATACCAGCACTTTGGGAGGCCAAGGAGGGAAGTTCGCTTGAGTCCAGGAGTTTGAAACCAGAGCAACATAGTGAGACTCTGTCTAAAAAAACCCTGATCAGCAACCTTAGTACAATAAGCACATTTGTTACGTCTACATTGCCAGGCAGTGTAATTATCCCAGTAATGATTGTTATTGCAAGTCCTCAGGGTTGGATTTTACAGTATAGCATAGTACAGAAATTTATGATTTTGTATTGATTTTACACATGGTAATATATTTTTAACTAGGTGATAAATTGATTTTAAAAACTCAAGAGTACAATGGACATGTCATCGAGTACATCGGCTATGTGATTGAGGTAAGAGGACATTCTCTTAATAAGAATTAAGATATCTCGTAGTAACACTCAGTGAAACCATTTAACTAGTTGAAAAGGTAAACATCCTGTCCAGCTCTCTCTTTCAGGGAAAGCTGCTCCGTTGAGTATTGGCTAATTTTGGAAAATTTAGAGATACAGTGAATCTTTAACTGTTGATACATAAAGGGAACTTAATATTTAAAGAAATACTGTAATTTTCAAACATGTAAAACATATCTCCCTTTTAAGTTTGATTTAAGTTGTGATGTTTGCATTGAGGAAAATTTGGGCACTGTGTGTTCTGGAAGAGTTAGCAGAGTGGAATCTCAGAAGGAAAAATACATGTGAGGCTCGGCGTCTATAGCTCAACCGGCTAAGGCGCCAGCCACGTACACCTAAGGTGGCGGGTTCGAATCCCCAGCCCGGAACCGCCAAACAACAATGACGGCTGCAACCAAAAAATAGC